AGCAGCCTCCAAAAGGAAAAAATGGTACCTTGCAGACAGAATGTCATTCATGCATTCCTTTGTGAGGCAGCATAGAAAATCAAAAGGAAATGTTTTCGCGGATGACGAAGATGAAGAAATATCACCATCCGCCTCTCTTGAAGACGAGATCGATGAAACAAGTGAAGGTACCTCCAGCTCTACGCCACGAACAAACGATCCCCATGGAAAACCAGACACTAGGAGTGATTTTGAATATCCAGAAACCTCTAAAAAGACGGAGACGATGTCTGCTTCTGACATGGTTGCAGGCCCCATGATAGAATTTTTGAAAAAAATAAACCAGCAGCCAACACCATCAGCTGATCAAAATTTGAAATTTTTTGAAAGTCTGATTCCAGATATTGAAAAATTGTCATCCAAGAGGATAAGGATATTTAAATTTAAAGTTATGGGTTTTCTTAATGACCTATTAGACGACCAGGAGCACGAAGACTCCGCAAATTCCTCTACACCAACCCCGCCGGTGGAGCAAACTTTCAAAACTGAAACTGAAGGAGATGGTTACGAAGACATGAACTGTTAATGTACCAATCGTTGTTCTGCTGTGATACTTCTGTAATTTTCTGTCTTTTCTTATTTTGTCACTGATCAGATTAACAATAAAATCAAACGTCTTCTAGGGACAATCTTGTAAAATTCTGATAATTTCTTTTCATCACATCGCAATTCCTGGAGAAAATTCTACAGTGTTTTTTTCCTTTTCTCATTAATTGGATGCAACCAAAGACGCTTTCCTTTTTCACCCATGTATAATTTCTCCCAACAATACCACAACAGCACAGCAACATCCTTCATCCATAACGACGAGCAGAAATGCTTTTGTTTTGACTAAAATCAAGATGTAGCATAATTGCTTTCAGTGGAAGCAAGAACGCTTTTGCCAAAAGCAGCTTTGCTACATTGGTCTGCGCCTAGCCTAAAGGCGAACTTGAGGGACTAATATGTTGCTGTTATGCATATAACGACATCTGTTATACATAACCTCAAATGATTTAGAGAACGCAGCAGTGGCCTTTAATTGATAGCAAAAGATTCGTTTCCTGTTCTGTGTAGTGTGAGATTTTAAAGTGGTCAGGCAAATTACCTGTATTTATTCCTAGATAATTAAACATACAAAAAGAATAGTACCAAGATTATGGATTAACAAGTAACAGGTAAGTAGCCTTATTTATTCCTAACCTCACTTATAGATCCTGTGTAATGTAATAAGTAATATCTCTACACAGGATCTATAAGTGAGGTTAGGAATAAATAAGGCTACTTACCTGTTACTTGTTAATCCATAATCTTGGTAATATTCTTTTTGTGTGTTTAATTATCTAGGAATAAATACAGGTAATTTGCCTGACCACTTTAAAATCTCAATAGTACACTGCTGCGTTCTCTAAATCATTTGAGGTTATGTATAACAGATGTCGTTTTATGCATAACAGAAGAATTAAAATGTGTTTTGTTCCGGTAATAGCTCTGTCCCAAAGCAGGATTTGAGGTTTTCATGGCAGTGAGTCTGAAGATGGCTGTCTTCTGGGTTGTTGAGTCTGGTAGAAGTTTTACGTTCTCCGAGACCACACTTCACTACATATGACAGTTTTTCAACTTTTGAACATTCAAAGTTGTTCTGGGGACTAATGAAAGAAAATAGAAGGAATGGTTATGTAGGGAGATACAAGAAATTCACAAATACTTGAAGAAATCAAAAATGGGAATGCATGGAATTTTGGAAGGAATTATGTCTTGAAGGAAATACGAGCAAAATATTTGTAAAATTAATAACATTTATGAAACAGGAGATTTTAAATCAGATTTGAAGACTAGTATGTTGCATATTGTAAGAAGAAAGGGGCGGATGATACCCTGCTAATTGTAGAGGAATTTAATTTCTTTCAACATTATCGAAGATATTTACGTTGGTACTAGCAAGGAGACTGAATGATTCGATGAAGAAGGGTGTCATTTCAGAATGAAAGGTGAAAAGAGAATTGTCAATTATATATTTTTATTAACAACTATCGTTGAAGAGGTAAATTATATTGGATATTTTTTAGATATGCGAGTATTTTTTAATGTAGAAATGATTTGGTTGTACATTACTTTTAGATTGGACGCTGTTTTCGTATTGGAATACGAGAATCCGAATTCCTTTGAATTGATTTTAATCGACGAAGGAGAACGGGAAAAAGATTTATAAGAGACATACACAAGGTAATCAGAACACATCAAAAGATATCTAGGTAATTCATTAAAATTTATTACAGAATATGGGGTTAATCTAAAAGTAGATCAGCTGTGTTAACGAGTCTATCGATAGTCGACTAGCCGAACACGTCTCGAAGATCGATAGCGACTAAGAAACGTAACATGAACACGATCCAACAGTATCATTCGGCCGGGACCTGCGAACACTTGATAATGAAACTAACGTTGACTTTAAAAGTATGCGTGAAGAGAGAAGACTACATTTCAAATTAAAGTAAGCGACAGACACCAAATGGAGAGCAGAAATTGGGGAATTCATCAACACAGGTATTTCTAGCCTTTTAGGAGTGCATCAAAGAAACTTTGTGCAGGAAAGAGAAAGGTAAAAGCTCGCACTGTGAGAGCAGCTGGGATAAAAGATGTTTCTCACCCGCCGCGTAGTGAGGAACTCATGAACTAGCACTAGAACAGTAGAACGTAGCGAGTTGGGCTCGCCGATCGCCGCGAAGCAGCAGTCTGTGTGAGAGCGTTGGGCAGCGTACATGTTGCTCGTAGCAGCTACCGCCTTCCAGTCATTGATTCAGCCTGTTCGGATGTGGAATTGTTTATAGAAGAACAAATATGGGATACATCTTGTAAGGAGTTTCAAGTGTGTGAAAAGTTTTGTGAGGGTTTTACTGATAAACCAGATCTGAAGAAAAAATGAAACAGGTAAGTATTATTGTTTATCTATCTTGTGTTTGTGCATTTTGGCTCGAATGTGGCACATAAATAGTTTCAGTTAAAAGTTTGATCAAGTTCGTCAGCTAAAACAATCCGTCCACACGTTTCAAAATGGCGGCCGTTCAAAACTTTAATCCTCCGACCGGCAAATGCATTTTTCTCTGGCGAGAGGCCTCTCTGCTGTTTCTATAAATAGTATTCAATCAATAATAACAATAATATTCCTAATAATTAACAAAAAAAAATTGTTATAAAAGAATTCTGTTATTTCATCAGGATAAATTACCTCCAGACGTTTCAGTATAATCAAAGTTTTATTTCATAACATCCACGAAATAACCTAACATATAATTACATAGATTTCAGTAGAGCTATACAGTTTGAATTCCAATAGTCTGCCACGTTTGGCGGTAAATTGATTCCGCATTCACTGTATTTGTTTACCGGTCAGTTTTAGATACATTTGTCTTGCCACGGTTGCCAGCACTGCTTACAAAGTAATCAGCTAATGCATTTCTTCTGTTTAGTGAACTTCCTCCTTGCGTTGATGGAGTTTCATTGTACAGATCACATAGCCCATGTGTCCTCGAAGTTAAAACCGTATCTGGAACTGACGTAGTTGTGAAGAATGCAGCAACATTTTATAATGCTAATAGTACAGTTCAAATTAACATTGATGAGTCTGTGAAAGATTCTCAAATTATTCTTGTAGGAGAGGAATGTTACGTTGTATGGTCTCATGACAAAATCAGACAGAGAAAATGATTCATCCCCCAAGAAAGTTTATGGCATCGAAGTGTAGTTTTCAAAGATAGTGTTATCCGATTCTCTGCCACGATAGCCAACTTCCACGTAGTCGAACAGATAGTTTGTATCTAGCAAACACAAACAGCACTACCGAATGGAATTTATTGTAGTTAAAGAACTGAGAACCACTGAAATATGGTTTAATGATTCTCACGTGCTTGTCATCCGAGGCACTTAGGCATTTTCCAGCATTCTTTGCTCAAGATCTCCCACACAACCTTACAAACTTTTATTACTATTTTACACAATTTTATATGGCAGATTCTGTATTGATAATGCAGATCAATTAGAGTCCAGCCGCTATCTGGAAAACAAGAACATTACTTCCGGCGGGGCCCGAATTTTTAACTTGTGTTGGGCAAGGCCGTGGCCTAGGCAACACGGAGTTTTCCTCATTGGCATCCCAACAATTACTCCATTCACACACAGACGAAGGCAATGGCAAACCACTTCTGGATCATCTGCCAAGAACGTATATGAACAGGTCCCAGTCCGAGAAAAGGATGGAAGGATCCTGTTCATATGGACCTGTCGTCAGACAGAACACTAAATAATGATAATATATATTGGTTGTTGTAATGCTTCATAAAAATAAAATATCTTTACAAAATGAATCTTATACCGTAGTTTGTGTTTGATTTCAGGTTAAAGACAGTGGATCCAGGTCCCACGCAAATTAGTGTCGATGATGAAGTCGTGGCTGGTAATGAATCTCTGCAAGAGATTGATACTACATCAGAAACATCAACAGCCTCTCCCAGACCGTACGGAGTGAGCCTGACACAAATTTGGACAATACGGCGCAGGATAATTGGAAATAACTTAGTAAAGTTTATGAATACTCCTATGCCAAAAGGTACCAGACGATGATAAATCATTTTTTGAATCATTGCCGTTGGACACCGAATTGGAGTTTAGATGAGAAGTTATTAGGTTACTGAAAAGGTTCAGGACCATGAATGAACATCCCCAATACATCGCCCCCATGAAGTTCTCAGCCAATTGCAACCCCTCGATCGTTTTCAAGAGTTCAATAATCAATTACAGATTCACCTAACCTAACCTCATTTATCTGTCAACGCTATGACCACTCCTTCTCCATACACGGTAACAGATGGTGAAGATTCTATGGACCTTCAACAATAGAATGGAGCAGTTTATAAGGGTTTCCAAATGGACTATAATTGGTAACTTACAATAAGTAATTGATTTTTGTACTTAAACTTGAAATAAAGATTTCGTTTTGAGAAACTGTGCCCTACAAGTATTTAATTGTTTTCATCTTTAAGTTATACCAAAACAACAATAATGTTAATTAAAAAGTTGCCAGTGGAACCACGGTTCCGGATAATTTGACGTAAATACGTCTATACGGAAAGGAAGTTTATATATTGGCTTTATTCTAAATATTTCCTTTATACATGCTTTACATTTGAGATAAGTTTGATTAAGACTTTGCTTATTTAACTTGAATTAGTTACTCTTAAGATGGGTCTGTGGTAGCTGAATGTAATGTAAAGTAATGTAATGAAATGAATGAAATGTAATGAAATGTAGTGTAACGTTCCCTAGGTAACCAGGTTACACTTTTTCGTTTCCGTTTTTCGTTTCCCCTTTTCGTTTCCGTTTTTCGTTTCACTTTTTCGTTTCCGTTTTTCGTTTCCCCTTTTCGTTTTCCTTTTTCGTTCCACTTTTTCATTTCCCCCTTTCGTTCCCCTTTTTCGTTCCCCTTTTTCGTTTCCCCTTTTCGTTTCCCCTTTTCGTTCCCCTTTTTCTTTTCTCCTTTTCGTTCCAACTTTTCGCCGAATGACCCTTCCTTATAGACGTATTTACGTCAAAACAATATATATTGCCATATACTAAAATTGTAGGTTTACTAAACACTAAATAACAACTAAAATTTATGTTACATTTACTACAGCTTTCTACAGTTGATACCAAAGTAGGGGTTAGTAAATTAGTTTTAACATGTAGGTACTGTCGGGCATCACATTAAAGCACTTGCTTTACTGATCACAACAAAATTATATCGGAGCAAGGATTCGTTTCCCCTTTTCGTTCCCCTTTTTCTTTTCTCCTTTTCGTTCCAACTTTTCGCCGAATGACCCTTCCTTATAGACGTATTTACGTCAAAACAATATATATTGCCATATACTAAAATTGTAGGTTTACTAAACACTAAATAACAACTAAAATTTATGTTACATTTACTACAGCTTTCTACAGTTGATACCAAAGTAGGGGTTAGTAAATTAGTTTTAACATGTAGGTACTGTCGGGCATCACATTAAAGCACTTGCTTTACTGATCACAACAAAATTATATCGGAGCAAGGATATCATTTATCCATTTTTTAAATAAACTATATCATAGTTGTTTATTTATTAAAATAACATAGGATATGAATACTTAAATACTCTCTGCTTACCTCAGAGGTATTGCAAGCCTCATCGCAGAGTCTTTACTTTTGATGGATGCATCCAGTTTTGTTGCTATCTCATCAAACGACTTTAAGCTCATACGAAAATAATTATGAAATTTACTTTCATCTTCTCTTAAATCTATAAACATTGTCACGAAAGCCCCCCCTTTTAAGTGAACTAACCAACGGGCGTGTCCAATACTTACTATTGCGTTTTTTAAAGGATGTATTCATAAATGAAATAGGCAGACACTACACGTTTCCTTCTGTACACATCCATTTTGGTTGCCATCCAATCTAGTACTGGCGTGCTCTCAGAGATGGCGCTAGTGTGCAGTCACGGGTTTCCTCGCTGCGAGCATTTTCCCGCTCGTGTGCATCGGGCCTTAAGAGTAAACCGCGATTATTCATATATGAAATTCGATTTAGAAGATGTGAAATTTTTTTTGTTGGAATTTGAGGTTTTCGTGGCTTTTAAAATGTCGTTGGGGTTGTTATAGGTTATGAAGACTTGTAATGTATAGTTCCCAGTATTTCTGAGGAACTTATTGTCTACATCTACAGTGAAGGTCGAAGTGACAAGTTCTTTCGAAGTTTTGGCAAAAATCTACACGACTTCTTAACCCATAATATCACGATCCTAGATGTTTGAAATCTCTTCATTATACTTTATCCTTCTGTTACTGACTTTCTACAAGATTAAAATAAATGTTTTTCAAGGCGATTTTTATTACTTTAATCTGTCTCTTATAAGTCAGTGGCTTCTTGTAACGAGGAGCACATGTATTAAAAACTGGAACATGATATAAAATATCGATCATACTCAGACATACACATTTGATATCAAATATATCTCGATGTGTTATCGATATGAATTAATGAAATTCATTTAAAACTAATGCCTGTGGTACGGACCGGAATTCTAAATGTTATTTAAATTATCTTAGAATTCACAATCTTCGAAGTCATTATCAAAGTCTTCAGTTCAGTAAGGAAATACATTTATATTGCGAAATCTTTCAGTCTCAGGTTTATTTAACCATCTAATTATATTATTTACAATTTCAACAGATTTAACCTAATAAACCTCTAGTGTTAAGTAACTAATTCATATTAATATTTTACTTGCATTTACTTTAGAATACATCATCCATTTTTGATTATTATATCCAAATAATTATTACAGATAAATAAGGATTCTCTTTACCAAATTTCATTCAAAATCCTTCCTTAAATACTTGGTACGAATACACACAAATATAATTACTCCTAAGGACTAGTATGAATCTTTTTAATTATCTAATAATTTAAGTTCTTTATTTTTATTATTTGAAACCGATTTACTGAATTTTTAGATCCATCCCCTTTTGTCGTAGATGGGTAACAATTTCTTAAGAGATTCTTTGAACGCTTCGCTGAAATGCAGGGTATCTTCATTGTTCACAGGTTTGCTAAAATCATAGACTTTATCTGGATCAGGCAAAGCAAGGATTCGGATGTTGAAGGCTGCCAACACTCCGAACAATCCCCTCTTCTCGAATTCTTTATTAAGTTGTGACTCCTGGGGTTGAAGATGCTGGTATCCCAACAGCGAAAGAGCTTCGATCAGCGATACGTAATATTCTTGAGTTAACAGTTCGACATTTTCCATAATTTCAGGCGATGCACTTGAATTTAAGAAATATTGGAGATCGACTGTTGGAGAAGTCCATTGGCTCAGTTGGAAATCTATAAATCTATAGTAAAGAAAAAGTTATAAAATATCTTTCCATTTCGAACGGAAGTCTGAATTCTATGGGTCTTAAAGCAATTTGTTTATAGTTATTCATGTAAATCCACAATAGGTTTCATAGTCTTTGAAGTGTTCATTTGCGAGTAGTGAGTGACCGCCCCCAGACTCTGCGCAATTTCTACTAAATCCTGATTTGACCGCCAGAGCCATCTAGCAGTCAATCAGTAGATACTTGTGTGAGAAATGGCCGCTGAATTTTTCTTACGAAACATCTCGTATCATGCTCGTAAGGTTCTTTTACATGCTACGACATGAGACCTAGATTTATACAGAGTAATCGAAAAATCATACAACCATTTCCTGACATTTGTTCTATTTGTAAATAAATAAATACGATTACATTGAAATAAGAACAAAAACTGTTGTTTTTAAGTGTTGGAAATATCAAACGTCTTCGGTCATACATGCATGTGATATCGCAACAAAGTCATCGATATCATCCGTACTATCGATACTTAACACTAAGGTCGATTGGAACGAGAGATATTATCGATTGTGGTATTTTTACAACAGCAAGTGTCCTGAAATTTTTTTATTTTTATTTTTAGTGTTCTGTCTGACGACAGGTCCATTTGAACAGGATCCTTCCATCCTTTTCTTTTCTCGGACTGGGACCTGTTCCTATACGTTCTTGGCAGATGATCCCGAAGTGGTTTGCCATTGCCTTCTTCTGTGTGTGAATGGGGTAATTGTTGGGATGCCACGGAGGAAAACTCCGTGTTGCCTAGACCACGGCCTTGCCCAACACAAGTTATAAATTCGGGCACCGCCGGGAATCGAACCCGAGACCCCAGGATTACATTTCAAATGTATAAAATACGTTTTACTCACGACGGCGACTATGAAGATGGCTGTCTTCTGAGATCTTGCGCCGTGTAGTGTTGTAAATTTCTGCCAGACCACGTTTTGCTCTATCATTACGTCCTGATGATGGAAGCGTCAAAAACTTTTGAAACATCGGAAAAATTTCTACGAGACTCATTGCCCAAGATCCCAGAGAAGTCAGCCGTCTTGAAGATTTACTGAAGCCTTACCTCACTTCCTCAACTTCTCCCGTTTCCTCAGAGTATCGGAACATCATGTTGTTAGCCCAGAGGTCGCCGTGGCTGAGGACATTGAATTCGGCCTCATTCCTCTTCGTTGCACGAAGCCATACATCCATACCCGTGCCAGACAGTTTACAAATTCTGTCTGCAAACCTATTCTTGTAATCTGGCCACGTTTCGACCTCTTTTGCAATGCTCGTTGCATTACGCTTGAAGAAAGGCTCTAGACTCTCTCTATATTTATCGTTAAATAAGTTGGACATAAATTCCTTAAAATCTTCTGGATTTTTGTCGTGTAACACTACAGACATGGCGTGGTATCTTGCTATGTTCCTTATGACAAGTAGGCAGTGGTTCAGATCCAGTCCAAGATCTCTTTCTGCCAGTTTGAAGCCTTTCGTCTTCAAATCCTCCATCACTAATGTTGCTGTAAGATTATCTGAGTGAGAATAGAGATATTTCGCGGCGAATGGTTGGTAATTCCACGTGGAAATTTTGTTTAGTAGGTGAAACATCGCTGGAAACACGATGGTATATATACTTATTTCATGATTATATATATTAGCCTCTATCATTATCTGTAAAATAAAAACAAATATATTAATATTATCTGGAACAAATTTAAGGTTTATTTAAGTTTTATGGAATTATTGTGGATGATTGCCCTGAGGAAATGTTATTTTGGAAAAACGTTTGGCTTTTATTTTTAAAAGCGTAAAACGTCATTTGGACTTAAGCGGAGAAAGATGTTTTTTTGTGTGTATTAATTCATAATTTTGTCTCATTCCCTCGTTTATCTCGTGTTCATTTCACATCCTTCTTCATCTGAGTTCCTCAGAACTTCTTACCTTACTTCGCTACCAAATTGCTCTTTAAAATAATAAAATTCTCGTAAGTCTGAAATAATTGGAATGTAAATTTATCGCTCAAATGTGACGTCACAAAAGAATATCAACGTTTTCGTCAACATTTTCCCCGGAGTCCTCTCTCTTCATGCGCGAGAACCATTTCTAGAATTGGTTCCAGCGTTTTTGGCCGCTGAACTTTGCGAATTGGAACCTCGGAGCGAGTCACTTACCACAAGTTTCCTGAAAGGGATGGCCGTAGGCCGCGTATAAACACTCCAAATAAAATATGACCAAGGTATGTAACACAGGAAAGTCGATTTCACTAGAAAATTAACACTGAAGAGAGTATTAGATAATTTTATCTTATCACAAATCTTTAGTCCTCCTCAAATTCTTCCAATCCTCTTGCCCAATTTCTTCGAATCTCTGGCGACACAGACGCTCGACGTCCTTAATTTTAAACGTTGTTTTGCATAAGTTCAATGGGGTTTAGATCGGGAAGTCTCAGCACAGTACGTTCTTTGTCTGCTAAAAATCTGATCAATCACATAATAATTTCGTTTTGATCTATTTAATTCGATTAAATCGGACAGTTAAGCTTTCAACACGTCACAAATTGGGATACTTTAATTTCGTCCTTCTTTGAGTAAGACGTCGGTGGTTTGTCTCTCTGAGTGTTGATACGAGGCTTTATCAATGCCCAGAAATGAGATTGCAACGAACAGATGTCATGTTGTTAACACAGGACAGTCACAAGACGACAATTATCAGGCTCCCACACTCCTGCTCTGACACAGACTCCTTCCTTCAATGATTGGTCCGCAAACTGGACTCTCCCTACAAGGTCAGAGGCCATAATCGGTGGATCGAGCTCTAAGATAACGTAATTCGACTCACGTACTATTCAAACCTTACGCGTAGCCAAAGAAATACATGTATTAGTTAATTACCAACAGCTTCATTAATTGAGAGAGGTTATTGGTTCTTACCCTGTTCAATTCCCCTCCATCGGTCGGGGAAGCTTTGATGATGATTGACCGCTCCTCGTTTCGACCTTTTTGTTTTATCTGCACAGTGGCTCTGTACATTTCACTAGCAAAATTATCACCAGCAGCCGTGGCTTTCGTCACCAAGCTAGATATCACCGCCAGACTCGAATCGCCATCTGCTGACCTCAGAGCTTTCTCCAGGAAAGAGTTGTTCAACCAGATCGGCAGAATTTTTGCTATCAAGTTGTTTGATGGATTCGCCATAGTTATCTGTGGAAGATGACAGAACATCTGAATAACAAATTATTATGTCTCTGTTTTAGTTCTCTGTGTGCTAGGAGACCATAAGCGGTCTAATGCATAAAACGATCGGTATCGAACAACATTTGTTTTATGACAAATATTCTGTCATAACGTGATATTTTATATATTTACTTGTCACCACGTGGCGCTAAAGCTGTGAACAGTACAACAGATATTAAATTCTTTTAATTCAATTCTTTCAATTCAATTCTTTCAATTCAATTCTTTCAATTCAATTCTTTCAATTCAATTCTTTCAATTCAATTCTTTCAATCCAATTCTTTCAATCCAATTCTTTCAATTCAATTCTTTCAATCCAATTCTTTCAATCCAATTCTTTCAATTCAATTCTTTCAATTCAATTCTTTCAATTCAATTCTTTCAATCCAATTCTTTCAATCCAATTCTTTCAATTCAATTCTTTCAATTCAATTCTTTCAATTCAATTCTTTCAATTCAATTCTTTCAATTCTTTCAATTCAATTCTTTCAATTCTTTCAATTCAATTCTTTCAATTCTTTCAATTCAATTCTTTATTATTACTGTGAACAGAGACGAGCACACGAACACAATAAAAACATAAAAGGTAAAACATGCAGAATATAAAATATATTAACACAGAGGACGTTAATATATAAGAAAATTGCAACTAAATACCGCGTTTACAATTTATGAGGCTGCGGTCGTGCTTGGATTGCGTGATCGGCCGGCGAGCTGTTGATGTGGGCGGGAGTCGTGCGCGTTCTTCCGGTGGGTGACCGGCGAATCAGTTTCAGTGCAGATAGTAAACAGCAAAATACGAATATTTCTCGTTACTAATACATGTTATTACATTAATTGTTATTACCTTAAATCACAAAAGATGTTCAAAGTTACTTCCTTGTACTTGTAGGCGACTTCACATCTCGTTAACATATTTCGAAATACTCGACCACAGCCTCATAAATTTTAGATCCGATATATTAGCATATTTGTAAAAATAATTTAAATCAATTAAGTAAATTATGCTATTATAGAATGTGAAGAAGTGTGACAATTTTCGTCTCGAATACGTCCAAATCCCTGCAGACGACATTAGCAGCTGATGTGTGTCTAGCAGAAGAACTGTTTTTGATCAAAGGGTTAAAATTGAACACAGAAAAATCTCTCAGATTCCGAGCAGGGATGCGGAGACCGACAGCTTCCAGAAGGGAAGGATAGCATTTAAGACCGCGGTAAACCTGCTCAAGGAACAGTACATCACTGCAATGCCTTCTCTTACGCAGGGTATGGAGTTTTAAATACAGTAAAACCTCTCTAACTTGGACACTTGCGGTTCCACGATAATGTGTCCAACTTACAGAGGTGTCCAGGATAGAGGGAAAGGGGAAAATCATCCTTTAAAATTGTCGTGTAATAACAATGTGGTAATTGTAAAATATTATGAAGCCCTTCACAAAAAGGAAATTATTGATAAGAAAAATCAAAAGGGTAAATTAAATTTTTACAAATTTTGTTTTCACTAAATTAAACTTGCATGGATAAGCTCAAAGTGAAGGGCACCAATACTTTACGTTTTCCGACAATGTAATCTGTTTACTTACATAATATAACTACTGTAGGCTTGCTCGAATTACGAATTAATGACAATAATAATAATCTTTTGAAATCCACTCTCATGGTTGCACATTACACCCCAGCCTCAATGAAATTTTAAATGTTCAGAATGTATTTTTTTAATTGTACTTAAGGCATTAGCTCAACATATGATGTCACTTATTTCTTGCAAAAAAGTCCGTCACAAGATACTGCTTTTTTGCTTGTATCTTTCTAATTTTCACCGCAATCCAAATAAAGTTTCAACCACTCCTGGTTGATTATGAGCGAACGCATACCATTCCAATTTCTAACACTGTTTAACTCAGTTGCAAGCACAGTACTGACAAAGTTAAAACTCCAGTGAGG